CTTTTTATGGTTCTTTTTCTCTTTTTATTAATTAACTTGGTACTTGCAAATTTAATTTGTTCAAAGCTGTTTATATTTGTTAGCAATTAATAATGCAGTAATGGATTATTACTTTTCATTGTGTAGAAGCATTACACTAGTAGTGCCTGACCAAATTTGAGGAGTTACTAGCAAACCAGCTTGAGTTTAGTCATGCACTACTGGCTGGTTAATGTTGCCTAGAGGAGAATAGGCAGTTCAAAGGACTGTGATATTCTAATTAGTGTAATCTTTAACTTTGACTAAATGCAACGTTCATAATGCTTAAGACACCTGCAGCTAAAAATATTTCTGAGATATGGATCATTGGAAAATTCTGCTGTCATAGACAATACAACCTTCTTCTCCAGCCTGTTTCTCCTACATACCACCTACGCGAGCACGTACTGTAGGTTGCCACAACCCATTATGGAAGTGATTTTACAAATGCTTCTTTGAGATACATACTGTATAAAGCACTTATTGAAAAGTCTCTGATTATCTAAACCAAATATATAGCTCTATAACAGTTTGCTGACAGTTCCCTGCTGTGTATCCCAAGAGTGAAGCCTGAAAGAAAAAGTTCTTTTTTTCCTTATATTGCACCACAACTGTTGAATTTATGGCCTATTAAGAGGCACTTTCTCTATTTTTAAATCAAGACCTAAGACACTTGTTATAAACCAAAGTTTTTGTTCATGTTGTTGCATTAAAATGTTATATTAAATAGTTATTTTAGCTTGTTTTTTCTCAATTTTAAAATGTACTTTCTTTATAAAGCTCTTTGAGATGCTTTTAACATCAAATAGACTCATAAATATGCAGTGTAACAACCTTCTGTTCTTATATTGTTGTAGTTCAAAAGATAAGCAATTCTGGGTCTGCTCAGTACTGGGATGAAAGACCACCAAGAAGGATTAGGTTGTTGGTGTGTGGTGTTGGTGGACCAGGATTCTGTCTGGATCCACTGGTTTACATAATTTCCAGACCAATGCCCCAGTAAGATGAGTGTGTTGTGGGGGTTGCAATCTTTTGGATGGGATTTCAAGATGAGATCCAAATTACTTGGTTATAAAATATCCGATGACATTGAAAGATTGAGGGCATTAATTCATGTTCAATGTTCTGGCTAAATACCACTCTGGGCCAACAGGGTATAACTAAATTACCCCTTATTAGAATTAGTGAAATACATTTTTATTTTACATGATCGTTTTGCAGTAGGGGTTCTGGTGTATAATAGCTACACCATGCATCGCCAAGGTGGATGAATTTGGTTGTGGAGTAAGTGGAATCCTTCCTATATTTAAAGTACTTTGGCATACATTCTTTACAAAAAAAATGATACAATAAAATATACAGACATTTCATACATCAAATCATACAATCAAAATGTAGAGGCTCAACAGGTGGGTCTTGAGGAGACACCAGAGAAAAAAAACGAATAGGCAAATGTACAGTATTTAAGGTTTTAATTTTACTTCAAAATCTCTTTTCTCTACTTGTCATCTCACATCCCTACAACATACTTCCCTAATATTCAGAGAAACACAGCAACACTGTATGAATATAAAAATGAATGTAAATTTTCTAGTATGGCTTCCAGCTTTCAAGTCTGTCATCTATAGGAGGTTCACGTGGTACGGTTCCATTGGCTCGCAGCCAGGGGGCACCTCAGGCACTGGTTGGTGGCCTGGCTGTAGCCAATCACCAATTAAGCAGTGCTTCAGATGTTTTGTTTTTTTCCTCTAAGGAGTGCCTACTGTACCTGGTTCTTGATTTCGGTGTAACACACAGTTCTTTCTAGAACCTATGCGGACGACACAATCCAAGAAGTGGGAAACACTAGGAAAACGTCATGCAGGAATACGGGGCTGAAAACAGGGGGGCGTGTCTAAAGTGCGCTGGTGCACGGGGGAGGTGTGGCCGAGCCAAACAAACCAAAAGTAATCCATAGAGGGAATCCAAAAACACAAGAATAAGTCCATAGCCAGGTAATTCATCCAAACAAGGAATTAAAAACACGAACCGGGTCAGAACCGGGTCGGAAACCGGGTCGGAACCGGCGGACTAGGAACATGAACAGAGGTTAAACCCTTAATGGGACCAGGCGCTTCCAGGTCCCGGACTCGCACGGTGCGGAAACCAGATGCAGAGCCAGGATGAGCGTCAGCTCCTGGCTTTTAAGGTGGGCTGGGAAAAGGGATCAGGTGCACAGAATTAAGTCTAAAGTGAAAGGGCTGGAGCACCCTTAAGGAGGGGGGACTATAATCGTGACATTCGGCTTGTTTCTAGACTTCGGTTATGGAAGCTGCAGAAGGTCTACTCCTTTGCTTATTAGAGCTGTCTAGGCAGCCTTTACAATGCTGTTCATGGAGCTGTTTAAAAAAATACCTTAGGCATTCCTTTGAGTCTAGACATCTAACCACAGTGAGGTTCATCACTCAGTCACAATCTGCCTTCAAAATAAAAATCATTGCAGAAAACAGAACTCCACTGATCTATCACTTTAATGTTTCTAATCTTCATGTACTATGCAAATTACTGCTGGAAAGATCTAGCTTTCATTAACGTGAACATTGATATGACTGCACTTAGTAACTATGTGAATAATAAATATTGTGATAATAAGACAGTAGGTAGCCTCTTTCTGTTGCTCATTATGTAATGTTACATAATTAATATACTAGTAAGACATACTGTATTGCAAAGTGCAATCCTGCTAACTGCAATTGTATTTGTATGTTATTTAGATTTTGTTCTTAAATGACCTACACTTGAGGTATGGTACATTCTAACAAACAGATTGAACTTTCAGGTCTCAAATGGTTTGCAAACTCTTGTACTGTTTTAAAACTCATTTTAGTAGCAGAAAGAGCAAGATTAAACTGGTTTTAATGCACTTGAGATAAATCACTAAAAATGTTTGTGGATGTATAATGGCATACAATTTGCAATAAATTGCAAAACAGCATAGAGAACATTATTACATGTACCTGTAGAAGTTCTTAATATTAAACCACAGATTCATATAACAAGAATACCTGAAGCTGAAATGACATTTTTTAATGCATTGATTGAAAAAGCAAACAAACAGATTTGGTTTTTGAAGTAGCCATATTGCCAACAAAAAATAAAATTAAACTGATTGAAAATAAAGAAATACAATAGAAACATTTAGAAAACAAATATTTAATGCAGGGTGCTGTTTAAGTACTAGTTTGCTCCTTGTGCAAGTGAAGTATTAGATCAGAGCATGTTGATTCCAGAATCAGACTTGTGAATATTATTGTGTTCTTCTGCTATGTTTAAGTGAAAGCATTACAAGAGCTCAGGGAATAGACCAGTTAATATTGTAAACAAAATGTTGCCATCATTTATTCTAAAGAAACTCGAGTACCTTTGTAAGTAAGCTTTTAGAATAGATTACTTTGTATTGATAGCAAACCGGTCACTTTAAAGCAGCAGCTGCTGAAGAGCTCAGAGAAGCTGTTAAATCTGTCCAATTGAAGCCAATAACTAGCTGATTTAGGTGATTAAGAGTTGGAATGAAAATGAGCAGGCACAAAAGCACCTTATATTCAATATATGCTGTATATATATTTGTGAGTAAATATCTTTTTTCTTCTGTTCAGCCAATAACTGATATTTCTGGTACCTTTTTTTACATCTTCATGATGATAGTGTTTTTCAGAAATATTTGTAGAGGTTTTTGCCCTTGAGTGCTGCAGCACTTTTGTAATGCATATTATAGCCATAAAGTCCAGAGGTACTCAAATCTAGTCCTGGAGGGATTTTTTAAAAATTTTGTTCAGAGTTCTGTTTCTAAACTGAAGCCCTTTCCTTGCTCTAAAACAATTGTCGATTTAAAGAACCTTAGTGTATAAAGCCAGCTGTACTACAGTACTACAGCCACTACAGACTGGAACTGGCCCCATTAATAAACACAGGGATTCCTTTTTTTATTAACAGTGCAATGCATGTGATAAAATGAGCAGTCTTTAAAAAAATTACAAAATTATTTTTTGTAAAAAAAAAAGCACAAAACTGACATACAATATCATATTGCACAGTCAATCCTATTAAACAGAGCTTTTGAGATGTACCAAAAATAATTTGTTAAATGTGATGATACATTATTAAAACTATGAATTTCTATTTTAAGTAGAAAACAAAACTAAATGATCAGTTTAAGTTAAGTCAGTAGTCCAAGAGTGTTGTTACTGTACTAGAAAGACATGGGTTGAAATCCCAATTGGAACGCTGCAGTTGTATTTTTATTTAAGGTACTTTACTTATATTTCTTCAATACTGAACTATATGAATGTAATTTGCTTTAGCTAAATTTCATCCAAATAACCCAATAATAAAGAAACCGTCCTACCCATAATCAGTGCATTTTTGAGACACCTCAAATGCCTCAGCTGGGGTCTGGTCTTGGCCTTGTTTATATTCAAGCAGGACCTAATCAAGCAAATAATATTGCAAATCCTCTTTTACATGAGGTTTAGAAATCACTACTTTGCTCAGTATGTAGCTTGTTCATACACTTTATCCAGTTAAAATAGCTATTACAAACCTGATAGTGTGGTTTCCAGAAATTGGATACTGGCGTTTAAATCTAATTACCCGATTTTGTGAAAAATCAAGCAGTCTGTAATCTAAGAGTGCTCTGTGTAAGAACATATTGTTTATAAACATTCTTATAACTTTTTTTTCTAATTCTGATACAGAAAGATGGCTGACTCATATTATTAGAAAAAAAAACATTTAATATGTGTGTCAAATTACATTTTTGTATTAGAGAATGTGCTAATCAGGACAAATGTCATGATTTTACTCATGCCCTGGTTTTATCATTTGAAACCTTGATGTAAATTGCGAGGTGTTCAGTTTAATGTGATGTCTGGCTCTGTGTATTTCACTTCTGTGTTTTGGATGCCTTCCTGCAGTAAACTAGCTGTGATTTATCACACTGACAGGTACATCTTCTGCGGAACGCTGGGGATGAAGTTACCATCACTGTTCAGTACCTCAGGGAAGCTCCATCATTTCTTAAGCTCCCATTAGGTAAGAGAGAGGAATAGTAATGGATAAAGGCTGCAGTAACATTTCTCCACAATATTTCTATAAATGAGAACCTTCTGGTGTATTTCCTTTGTTTTAGTCCTCATAATCAAACACCATGGATATTTAGGCTGCTACCTTTATTTTTTGAAGGGGGGTGGGCTGGTAGGCTGGTATATTAACTTCTAAGATTACACAGGAAATAATCCTGTACACATTATTTCCTTTTTCTTCTGCCTAAAATAAGGGATAATTATTGTATTTAATAATATGGTATTATCATGATATACTGTAGAAGGATCAAAAAGTAAAATCTCTTTCTGGCCATCTGTTAGCATAGTATTGAACTTGATTCTTTTCTGATTTCTTTTTCTTTGGAATTAGTGTGGTTACGTCCAGTTACTAAAAGAGTGGCTTACTTTTTTATTTTTATGTCATGTACTGTTTTTATTACTCCGTTCTCTATATTTACTGTTACTCATAGTATTGTTATTCAGTTCTGTAAACAATTATTCATTTGCCATGTAGGGCATGTTTCTGAAGAAATGTAGGATGGGAATCAACTGTTTATTATGGATGGGGGACTATTCATCATGAAACTTTATCAAAAGAGTAATTTCCAACATTGTATAGTTAGTTTCATATATTTGTAAGTTTAGAATACCAACCAGGGTCCATAATATCATAAATAAAATGATCTTACTAGTAATTGCTCATCATTATGGATGTTCATGTTATAATGGAACAAGTTTGCTTTCTTCATGATGGACTCACAGCATATTAGCACCCATAACAAAGTCAAAAAAACTTCATTGACTGGACAGATTAAGTTCTTATATTCTTCCCTCTTAAGTCTTTCCCTTAAGACTGGTTGGTCTTCATTATGTTTCTTATACTGTATCTTAAATATTCAATATTACAGATGTGGTCTAATTCAAGCATTATAAACTTTTTACGTGACCGTTCTTTATTTTGTTTTGAACATAGCTACAGGTATATGTATGTAAGAGCACGCAATGCATTTTGGATTTGTGCATTGCCTGGACGCTAAATGTAATAGAGTTTTAGTATTGAATAAATGCATATAGTACATTTATCTTCCACCTTAAGTACTGCATATGTACTGTACTGTACATGAGTGAATAATGAGTGAAAAATGCTGTTTCTGCAGATATTTGTATTGAGACATTTTGAAATTTTCTGTCTAAATGTCATTACATCCTAACAGTTTTAATACTATGTTAGTATAGTTTCGTTTATTGTAGGTAGAAGGAAGTTACACATTATTTTATCATATAAAACTCTTTGTTGTTGTTATTTATCAAATACACGAATTATCCTATTCTAATTAAAAACTACACTTCATTTTAAAAATAAATTCCTTTTGAATTGTGTGATACAGTTTAAAGAAACATAACCAGCTAGACAGCACTATAATGGGAAAAATGAATAGTTTCACAAATACTTTAATAAGCACTTCACATGATGCTATTCTAGTTGATTTCTAAACTTCATGCTGATATATCCATACTAGGTTTTCTGCTTAGTGAATATGCCATAAATATTTTTATAAACGCTCCTTCTGCTTGCTAAAATTACATAGTTAATATGGTATTTTGAGTGCTGAAAATTGTTTTCGGTTTGTGAAAAATTATGCCCTGCATGCATAATCTGAAATCACTTGTGTGAACGTGGAAATGGAACTCTGTATGGTGATTATCGATTTTCGCTTGCTGATTAGGAGTAAATGCTTTCATATGTAAGCAGAACATTATTTTCAACAAACAGAAAATAATTTCCAGCAATTCACTAGGGTAACACAGTAGTGCTGTGGTTAGCATTGCTATCTTCATGGAACATTGTCGTTTCTCCCTGTGAGTTTTCTCCAAGTGCTCTGATTTCCTCCCATAGTCCAAAGACATATTGGTAGATTAATTGGCATCTAGGAAAATTGGCCTTGGTGTAAATGTGTGAGTGTACTGTATGTGTCTGTATGTTTGCTCGGTGATGGACTGATGTCCCATCCAGGCTGTATCATACCTTATGCCTGTTACTTCCCGGAATAGGCTCTAGCCCCCCACAGCCCTGAATTGGATGAAGCAATTAGGAAATGGATGGATGGATTATTGCACCTCTCATTCTGCATATATGATAATCAAACACAAGGAAATTAGCTTTACTAGTTAAGGTTCTTTCTCAGACAGAGTATGTTGAGTATTATGACCCGGGGGCAAATATTTTCCAATCTTCAGACAGTTTAGTTGAGAATGAAAATTAACACTTCATTCTTGGAGGGAAGTTCCTAAAACTGTTAACCACTCTCAAAGGCTCAGCTCAGTAGAAAGTTCCCCCCTGAATGTAGAATATACACAGCCCATATATAGTTCTTTTACTCAGAACAAAATAAGAAATTCTGTAGTAGGAATTAATGTTTCTAATGGTCTCAGATTAGAAAGTGTAGAAAGAGAAGGGACAGACCATTTAATGTGCCAGCTGCAGGTAGTTAATATAAGATAAGGTTCACACCACTAATGTGACTTAATGCCATTCTGACTTTATGCCAGTGATACCCAAAGAGGAATTCATAAACAATAACAGCACTCTAGTTTAACACCAGTGTTGGATGATGAGACTTATGCTTTGGTTAATGTCAGTAATATACAGTATATGGGGAAGCAGATAAATAAAAATACTGTTAAAACAGGCATTTTATAACAATATTCAATTAATTTCAACATTTCATCACTGATATCACTAATACAAGCATGGGTCATTGGCCACCTGGGAACAGGATTCCCCAAAAGACAGCACATACTGTATTTGGCAGAGTTCCATCAGGATGAGTTTGGTGTTGTATAGTAGAGACCAGAGGTCTCTCTGCTTTTCTACAAACACTGACTTCTATGATTTGTTGGGCACCTGAAGGGTCATAGGGTCGTAACTGAGAGAAGAAGCATTGCTCTTCCGATTACTTTTAACTTTCCTTGGAGTGCTATGGATCTTTGAACGGACAAATAGAGCTGACAAACTGTAGGTCTGCAGTTAGAAATGTCAGAGGAGCATGTCTGTGATTCTCTGTCATGTCGGAAAGGTATATCAGCAAAAATAATTGGTGATTAAAAAAAAACAGTCCTGGGACTGCAAAAAGCTGTTTTTTATTTCTCCTACAGTACTTCTCAGACAGGAGAATAACTGTCTGCAGTATTCAGTCCCCAGATAGGGTGTCTCTAAGCAATGTGGGCACAACAGCAGCAAATGGGCCTCACATTTTGATGCTTAAATCATCACTCTTTGATAGCACAATGATTTATTCTAAATTGAGCCCACTCTTACTATAAACCTAATTCTAAATATGCCACAATCATCCTACTAATGAAAGCAAATAGTAAGAATATAGTAAATCTGTCCTAAAACATTAATTCTGCAAACTTTTAACGTTTTACCTGTGCTTTGTTTACAATTTTGTAAATTAGTCTCAGTAAACTAATTTACATAACAAAATAAAAAATGCATTTAAGATTTTAAAAAAGCACCTGCCTGCTTAGGATTCAGAAGTACTGTATAATTAGATACAAAATGCTTTCATTGTTTTATGAATGATTAATAGGATTTTTACCAATTAATTTCCTTAACTACACTTTCAAAAATGAAATGAAATAACTTTGTTCCAAATTGTCCTTTCCTGAATATAGTGCCACTGTGTAGCAGATCTTTTAAAAACATTCTATTTGTAGGCTAGCAGCTATTTTATACAAAGCATGAAGCTCAAAGCCTCTTATTGAAAGTAAATTTGGCAATTTTAGAAAAACAGGAATACTTTATGAATGAAATATGAGTCCTCACAAAGTATATTTGAAGCTACAAATGCAGAGGTCTAACTATACACTTTGTTCTTCTGAGAAATAAAGAAAAATATATAAAGTTTCTTTATCTTTTTGACAAAGGATAAATGGAATCAAGATTGCAGCTTAACTCCTTCTATATGCTCCTGTATATTTTTAGGTTCTCCAGGACCATCTAGTGACAACAGTAGCAGAACTTCCTCCCCACTCTTTGACAGTGGTTTACATCTAAATGGAAACTCTTCAAATACAGTAAGGCTCATTTAAGTTTTCATTATATTTGAGCTTTTAAATATCTCCCCATGGTTTCTGGGTATCCATCACTGTTTTCTTTCTTCCTATTGCATTTGAGTAAGTCACATACTCAGCTGGGGATAATGCTGCACATTACACAAATCAAAGCATTAAGTTAACTCTTACAAATGCATTGACAGTCTGAAGGACACTGTGAGGACAGATGAGTGCAAAAGGTTTATGGAGCATTGGGAGTCTTCTGGAAATGGTGGAAGATGTACTGGGGCAAAAATGTACAGTATTGGTGAAGTGTGTCTGAGAGAGGTTTATCAGTAATTTACCTAGAAAACTGGGATATTAAAACAGACCAATCCTGGTGGGAGCAGAAAAACATGGATTTAACAAATTCAAAACAAATAAACTCATCTACTCTTAAATGCTTATATTTTAATTTCAGTGGAAAGGACATGAAGTTACTCAACTGACCTGCATATCACAGGAATAACTGAAACAAGGTTATTGTTGAAAATAATACAGAAATCTAAAATGTTGAATACCCCCAATTTCAGAAAGGCAGACTGGAAATATGTTGTGAATTTGGGCTATAAATAAAAAATAACCTACAGACAACTGAAGCAAGAGGGTATGGGAACTTTCAAACGTACTGGATCAACTTTAAAAGGGATCAACTGGAAGAAATGAATTTATAGGGACTTATCAATGGCTGTATATTAGACTACCTAATGCACATATGGGCACAAATAGCTTATTGTATGATGAGTTTAGGAAAGTATGTAGCAAAGGTAACATCTACTTACTATGAGACTTTCCGCACGTAATTGGGATATTAGATGGCTGAAAAAGTTGTTGTTTTTAAGTTTGCTTTTTAACACAAAAAACTAACTACATTAGATGCTCTAATTGACTTAATATTCTCAATCAACCAGGATAGAATTAAGATAATTTATCTGTTAGAACTACTGGGGCGTTGAGATAATAATTTAGCATCTTTCAATGGTTTAATACACAAGTCTAAAATTAGGCTTTATAGTTTTAGAAAACCAGACTATGAAACTGGAAACAGATGGATACAGAATCAAAAGAAGAAATATGGTTATATTTCAAGCACATGTTTAAGAATCAAAACAAATTAATTCCTAAAACATTAACATCTAAATCCAGGAAAATATGGCCCAAATGGTTTATGTAGTCATTAAGAAAAGAAGCTCTACAGACTGTATAAATGGGTGTAACGATAGAAAAAAGAGTATCAAAATAGAGCTATTGGAACAGCTGAATAAAGTAAAGAATATCGCAATAAAGACAAACATAGTGCAAAATACTTTTTCCAGTTCTGCAGCTGGAAACAAACAATTTAATTGAGAGAAAATACAATACTTTATTAAATAATTTATACAGCAAAAAAGGATTAATAGTAGAAGGTGATAAAGATATGGTTAACATATGATAGAAAACAAATACAGGACTCCATATTATACATCAGGTTGTATAATATGGTTGTCAAGTATTAGAAGAATACTTGACGTGTGAAGAAACAACCAACATGGGACTAGAAGGGGATGGTCTTGTTTAATTCCTAACCTCTCTAGAACCTTGTATAAGTTACACTAAAGTTACACAACCTGATGTATATTATACATCCATATTATACATCAGGTTGTGTAACTTTAGTGTAACTTATACAAGGTTCTAGAGAGGTTAGGAATGATAAAAAAAGAACTCTGAAGGTCTTTTCCAGTCTTACTTAAGTAAATAAGGAATGTTACTCATCAGCTCATAACTAGAATGTTTACATTCTCACTTAGAATAGGAAAAATGTCACATTAACACAAACCACAAAGAGGGGCATGGAACTGAGCCAGGAAACTACAGATCAATTAGCCTTATTCATATTACTGGTAAAAATATGAAAACGATAGACCTAAATTAGAAGAATACTTGATGTGTGAAGAAACAACCAACATGGGACTAGAAGGGGATGGTCTTGTTTAATTCCTAAATTCTTTAACAAGCAACAAGGACATTGGTTAACATTAATTTATAAGAACAGTATGTTATCTGAAGGAGTATAACCTCTAACTTGGTAGATGCGAGTAGTGGTTTGCTACAAAGAACCATTTTAGGCCTTTTGCTCTTGCTGATCTTTATTAGTGATATAGATTCTAAAAATGGGTATAGTTAGCAAACACAAACAGGGGTACGGGAGTTACAAAGACTTTTTACAAAAATCATGCACCGATACTTGGAAAATGAAAAATACAGTAAGTGCAAAGTGACACAAACTGGTACTAGGAACATGCACGATACATATTATACTGTATGTGATCTTCCGAGCTGCAGAATAATATACAGGAAAGGAATGACAAAAAATATTTAAAAAAACAAAATACTTGGCACCACCTCCCATATGAACAAATTATGAAAGTTAAGATATAAAACACCTTTTTATAACTCACTGAGCAATACCAAGTAAAATTGTGTTGACAGTATACTTTACCTTTTTGTGAACAGTTTGGTATGTAATAATTAACTAGGAAAATGGCCTCAAAAAGAGTTCAAAGAGCAGCAACAAAATTCCGAGGTATTATAGATAGTTTAACCTAGGGGACTGTTTCCCATTCAGTGGTGAAAGAAGGATGAAGGGTCATAATTGGAAACTTAAGAGGAATTAATTTAAGACTGAATGAATAGGAAACACATCGTTATTAAAAGTAGTGAGTATCTACAGCAGCCTTCTCAGTGACGAGGATGAGGCCTAAATTCTAGGCACCTTTAAGAAACAAATAGATAAAATGTTAGGATTCTTTCACTTATCTACTAAACATGCAAATGAGCAAGACTGGGCAAATGCCCCATTTTCATTTGAAGACCTTTCTAATGTTGTTTCCTATGCACTTATGTTTAAGTAAATTGCAAGAAGCAGAAAGCAGCCTAGTAACTATGGATAATGATTATTACTGATGTACTGTATGTAGACTATAATAGTATACTGTATGTGGTAGCAACCAATTTTCAAAGGAGTTGCCACTGTGATTTTTTTTCAAGTACAGCCTGAGAACAAGTTGCAGCTGGATCACATTTTCAATATCACATTTGGGTTGAAAAATGGTAATATCCACACAAGGTTTTGTCTTTTTAATAAGATTTTCATGATGATGTTCCCTGCTTATTGTGACCAACCTCCACATTTAGACCACAGTGCTGAATTTCCCCTGCTTATCTAACATTGCTGTTGAGGCTCTAACATACAAGTAAGAGAGAAAAAAAAGAAAAACTATAATGCCATAAAAACATTATATCATATATATGACATTGTTGCATAATTAAGTATTTATATAGTAGGTATAATCCCTATTAACCATTTAAACATCTTCTTCTTATTATTATTCTTAAAAGAATGTAACGGTTGTTTGCAAGTTTATAGTCAGATGTTCCTTTGGAATCTAAACACCTATCAGAAACAGAATTAATTCTGTTTCTTTTACTTAATTCATATACAGCTAGTCTACAATATGCAAAATGTTTTGACACCATGGAATCAGTAACTTTTCCAGTTCCTGCCGTGATTATTTTATATTGAATGACTGCTCTATGACTGACAAGTTTAAGTGTCCAGGTAGAAATTAAACAGTAATACATAATTTGTGACTAAATGTAAATTGGAACTGTCAGTTGTTTAATAATCTGAGGTGGTTATGTAATGGCAGCAGTCATGGATGATGGTGCTGATATTTGAAATTATTTTTTAGATAACATATTATTAATACCTGCAAATTAGTTGTCAAATCTTTGTGTTAAATTTATTTCCATAAGACATAGTTCAATGAGTGTGTCATTTAGCTTTCTTTAATTAATAAATTTGAGTTGATATATAAATCTGGCTGTGTACTCGCTGACATCTGACATCTTTATCATGCTGTGCAACCTGAGGATACCTAATCGTTTTCTTGATTTGCTCCTGTGTTGGTGCTGGAAGTTAAGTGTGTTCATTCAAAAAATGAAAACAAAATGAGGATGAGGACGGGATCAGGATGACAGACAGAGGGGCGTGACAACGGTGGGCCAGTGCTCGGGGGGAGTGTTGCAAGTGAACAAGTCTAAGGAGTCCAAGGGGGAAATCCATGGCGTAGTCCAGGGTCCAGGTACCGGGAAACCATCCGAGATAGACGAAGTTAAAATTCGAAACAAGATCTGGAACAGGGAATTAAAAACAAGATAATGAGGCCAGGTGCCGTTCTGAAGCCTATGCCACTGGTAGGCGGGCTTCCAGGCGTCCATCTTCCAATGCTGAGCCAGGAATAGTGGGAGCGCCAGGCTTAAATAATGACAGACTAAACAGGGGGCAGGTGCACGTAATAAACTAAAATACCAAAGAGTTTGAGCGCCATTAAGAGGAGGGATGATGATTGTGACAATGCTCCTGCATCAGAACTGCATTTAAAATTTCCTTGCCATCAGAAAGAAGCATTAAATACATTTTGTACATTTGACAAAGAAAAGATTTTGTTTCAGTGTATAATTTTATGCATAATTATTTTTCATGGTTACTATGGTACAGACAAAATGAAAAACAGTATTAAACTTCACATTTAGCATTTTAAATCTTTGCACTTTAATTACCCTATGCTGTTTGAATTGAATAATTGGAAGTAACTACATTTCTTTATGGCCACTTTTTCAGATGTACTCTTAAATCTGCATATCGCAAAGTATTCATTAAAGTCTTGCTGCTTACTTTGCTTACTTTGTGCATTTTATTAACTAAAACAGTTACAATTAATACCTAATATTGGTTTACGGTTACTTTTAAATCTCTAAGCACTAAAACCTCAAAAGCTTTTATACTACAGTATGCAGCCTTCAAATACATTTGAATTTGGAATTTGTAACAGCAAAATGCAGGAAAAGTGTAATTTGAAGGGAGAAGAAACAATATCTGTCGTGTCTGTGCAACTGGATACAATGTAGAGAGATAGGGGAATGCCAAACAAAAAGAT